TTTATCTTAAATGAGAACTAAGATGGGATTTTTAGAGTAAGATTTTACACTTCAGGCAAAATTCATATGATAATTAAAAGATAAAGAGCTAAATTATGTGAAATGTATTTTTCTAAAGACAGTGGCTTTACCATATTATCTCAGCTGCCATATTGCATGAGATAATGCTCCTAAAGTTAATTCTAAGTTGATAATACTTACAGATATGATTAATATTTTATATTTTACCATCATTCCCTATAATGAAATTTCCTTATTCATCTTTGTTCTGAGTGTCCTCTTTTTCTTCTAGGTTTGGCTGGGGATGACACTCATTCCAAATCTTCCTAATTAGTCCTATAAATTGGACCATCACGGTAAGACACTTGATTTATCCTCCTCCTAAAATAAAACCACCTTAATTATCTTACATTTTGTGGTTCTTCTCTTTCATTAATTTTAATATTATCTATACATATTGTTAAGTATTTTCTCTGCAACATGTGTCAGGTTCCGAACACCTTCTTACCTCTTCTCAAGTGTAGTGTCTTACACTATTTTGTACATTATTTTTCTTCTCTGAATATGTCCCCTTTTATTATCAAACTCATTATAAAATACACAGCTATTGGACTGGACTAACCTACGTTAAGGTTATAATTGGCCGCAGGCCAGTCCTTTTTTGTGTACTGCTTTTGTATATATATTGAACCTTTATTGACTGTCAAACTGAAACATGAAAAGACAAATAAAGTACAGAAAAAACGAAACAGCAAGTAAATTGCCTAGTGGTAGGCTTAGTCCTAGATAAAAGGCAATAAACAAAGATCACAGGTGGCTGGGGTGTTGTGTCAAAGGCCAGCCAGCTAGCAATAAACGTTTGTCACCAGCTTGTAAAAATCTACCACTCCCAGATAAGAACAAAGAGTGAAAAAAAAAAAAAAAAAAAAAAATAGGGTCAACATTAAGTTTTTTTTTTTGTTTTTTTTTCAAACCTAGGCTTGAAAAATGGCTTGATGTGTTGTGTTTTGTTTAAACACCTGGGGTGATGACAACAACACTTAGCAGACAACATTATTTTTTTGCTGCATGTCTTTCATGACAAAACCAAGCGTTTTAAACAGTTGTGTCAGTTATGAAATATTTTTCTGAGAATAAACCCATTGCGCTGTTTTCATGCCTAAAACTGAATATAAAATAATAAAAAAAAGGAAATAATATTTGCAGTTTGTCTCACACTGAAAAAGGAAAAATTGTTTACATTTAAAAATTGAAAAGAAAAATTTTGAAAATGCGACGATATTCAGTCAGAAAACTTGACAAGCGTTGTTGTGTTGTTAACTGAATGAATGCAAAAGCAACTTCTGAAGTAAAAACAACTGGCTTCTATCAAGGGAAACAACTCTACCTTATGTGACATTATTTCAAAGCTGTGCATCCATAACTTTGTTGGAGATGATTTTGGAATATTAAAAAATTATTTTAAAAATATACGCGGTTTTCAGATTTTAATAAGCTTTCAAATTTATGATCTTTAAAAAGTAGAGAACATAATATATCATTTCCATTAACTTTCAAAAAGAAACTTAATTTTAAAATATATAACAACCTTTTATCATATTATGTATTTAAAATTGAAAAAAAAAAAAGAATTATTGTAAAAATTCATTTTTCATCAAAAAAATTTTTTTCCTTCAGATAAAAATTACCTTATTATATGTTATTCAGTAAAAAAAACCCATTAAAAGCTTTTTAATTAAATAATGTCTTAGTTTATTGGGTTTTGTATTTTTACAATTGAGGTAAAAGTTTGGACAATTTTGCGCATTTTTTTACCAAATAAATTGATGATTTAGATTCTTCAGAGTCTTGTGCATTTAAAAAAAAAATAAAGGTTGCAAATAAAATTTTTCAAGTTTTCATAAAATTAAGTTGGGGGGCGCTAACAGATATGAAAATAGGTACCTCCATGAGATCGCTAAAAAAGAGTATAGCATGATGAAAAAGACGCCAAACTTAAGGAAAACAAAATTTTATCATCTAAATATTTATGTTATTATTAAGAGGAAAGATAAAAGTATTTTGGGGGTATTTTTTTACATTTTTTAATTGTTCTTAGCATGTCCAAAATTTTCATTAAAAATCTTGTTTCTTTTTAGTTAGCAAAATTGACAGATAATCAATCATTTCAACCATTTTTTTCCATTTTATAAAAAAAATGAAAATCTCAGTTTGAAATTCTTTTAAAAATCAATTATAATTTTTTCAAAACTTATTTTAATGTATTAAAATTATAATGTTTATTTAAAATATTTTGAAATGAGCATTATTTAGTTTCTGTGCCGAAAAGCTGTACTTTGAAAATAAAACAAAGGTCATAACATTTACGTTTATGATGCTTTATGGAAAATAAAGAAATTAAAATAAGACTGTTGAGAGTGATATTAAATTTCATAAGAAAGATATCTAATTAATTTATAGGTACCTTTCTTATGAAATTTTATCAGAAGTGTACATAAAATACTATAATTTTATGTACATTTATTACATTTTACTGCGTTATTTGTATTTCCATTCATTTTATTATTAATTTTGATATTTCATTCATGGAAAAATGTCATAACTGAGATTAATATAAAAATAAGATCATATAAATTTCATAAGATGATACTGATACTTGTAGGTACCCTTCTCAGTTGAAATTGAAAAATCAAATTAACTTCTCCACACGTGTTTCGCAAAAGTAAAGGCCTTAACAGCAGAGAACAATGCTTAACTCAAATAACGCAACTTAATTGTATTCTGGTTGGTCTTCCCTACTTTATAATTACAGCCCAGTTATAAGCACAAAATTACATTTCTTAATTACTGTGGGTCTTCTGATTAGTCAAAATGATACAATTTACAACGTGCTAAAAAAGATCTATCTCATAAGGACATTTATGAAAGTGGATACGGCGTTACATAATTTTATAATATTTTAACAATTTAAATGTAAAAATCTATTATAATTAAAGAAATAACAAATAATTGTACTGAAAATTCATTTTTCATGGGAAAAGTTTTTAGCTTTCAGAAAATATTGTCCATATTCATAAAAGCAAATAAAAGCGTTTGAAATTAAATAATATCTGTTTTATTGAGTTTTGTATATTACAATTCCGAGCTGATTTTCGGGTGGGGGTGTTCAATTAAAAAAAAAACATGATTTACATTCCTCAAAGCTTAAATATTGTAATCACTAAACTGTATTCAATCGAATTTCTAGCATTTTCATAAAATTAGTTGGGGGTGGGTAATAAATAAATAAAAAAAAAATTTTCTGCCATGACTTTAATAAAAAGAAACATATTTATAATAATTTCAATCAACTGTGAATAGTTTCTGAAAGTTTCATAAACATCCGACAATTATTTTTGCAAGATTTTCCAAATAAATTTGTGTCATACAAAAAAATGTGCTAAAAATTGTATATATTATTTTACTAGTTCTGGTGATACAAAGAGAAACAAGGTTTTTTTAATCAAAATTTAGAATGTTCTAAAAAGAAGGAAAAATTCTAAAAATAATTAAAAAATCTTTGGTCTGTCCTCTTAGTAGATGATAAAATTTTTTTTCGTCAAGTTTGGCGTCTTTTTCATCATGCTATGGTCTTTTTTTAGCGACCTAGTATAAAAAAAATATTTAGACCATGACTTTCGAAAAGACAAACATAAGATAAGCTAGTGAGGAAGGCGGAAATAAAGATTTCTGGAAAGGACAGCACTAAGCACCTCCTTAGGCCCATCACAGAAACTGTACTTCTTCCTTGAAATTAAATACAGCATCTGCAATGACAACCTTCCCAGCAGCAATATTAGAACTCTTTTTGCAGTATTGACCTAATCATGCATACTCACATATGAACTAATATTATACCTGGACCTTTTTTCTTTTTCTCTGAGCATAGAGTAGTGACATGTAATATGTCAGGCGGGAAGTGTCATGTTACACATTATACTTTTTTAGTCCCTGTTGGTTACCCCCCTTAGTGGTCCCTTGTTTATTAGGATGCAGCCCCAAATCTTCACTGGCTAAGGATTTCTGGTGTCCTCTTTTTCTTCTAGGTTTAGCTGGGGACGACACTCATTCCAAATCTTCCTAATTAGTCCTATAAATTGGACCATCACGGTAAGACACTTGATTTATCCTCCTCCTTAAAATAAAACAACCTTAATTATCTTACATTTTGTGGTTCTTCTCTTTTATTAATTTTAATATTATCTATACATATTGTTAAGTATTTTCTCTGCAACACGTGTCAGGTTCCGAACACCTTCTTAGACAGCTTACCTCTTCTCAAGTGTAGTGTCTTACACTATTTTGTACATTATTTTTCTTCTCTGAATATGTCCCCTTTTATTATCAAACTCATTATAAAATACACAGCTATTGGACTGGACTAACCTACGTTAAGGTTATAACTGGCCGCAGGCCAGTCCTTTTTTGTGTACTGCTTTTGTATATACATTGAACCTTTAAAAGGACCCCAGGCCGCCTGTGATTTTTATTTATTGCCTTTTATCTAAGACTAAGCCTACCACTAGGCAATTTACATGCTGTTTCGTTTTTTCTGTACTTTGTCTTTTCATGTTTCAGTTTTACTCTCTTTGACAGTCAATAAACCTGATGACGAATGAGCCATGATTTCCAAGATGCGTTTAAACTTTCTGTTGAAAGACCATGTACAAGTTTAGGCAGAAACCACCGGAACACTTTCACTTGAAACCTTTGCTTCCTTTCTTCTCTGCACCTTCTCTTAAATCAACCAAAATTTATAATATGGACTTAAATTATAAATCTTGGTTGATTTTAGAATTTGCAAGAATGACCAAAATCAACCACTTGTTAATCAACTGCTGGATACTTTAAACGGAGATTACAAAACAATTTTCAACATTTTATAACTAAGACATCATTACTTCTCCTTCCAATTGTGATTTTGCTTATGATACAAAAACAATGCCAGAATAAAATCTTACCTGATTTTTAATTTTCTGGTGAACTTTTTCTCCTTTAAAACAATGGCATCTTCTTGCATGTATGTAAACTTCTTTACTTGATATTCCTGTACTTTTTCAGTAGCTTTCATCATTCTGTACTGATTGTACTGTTTTTCTCTTTGACTCATTGTTCCTATTCCAAAACCCTAAAAATGTGAGGAGAGAAGATGAAAACAATCTATTCTGCTCACCAGTTTCTATTTTGACCATATGTCCATTTAAAGAGAAGAGTTTTTCCCTCACTACTGGTTGGCCTTGTACTTAGAAATTAAGGGTTTTGAGTATATATATTTTGAATGTTTTGAGTGTATATATATATATATATATATATATATATAAATATAAAAGACAATAGGAAAACTGTTAATAGTTGCCTACGCGTTTCGTCCAATGTGGACTTTCTCAAGGCAAAACGAAATGAATTTATTAAATGAAGTAACTCATAATAACAAAACAAAATGTCCTTAGCAAATGGAAGAATTTAGAGAACGCTATTTTTATACTGTTAACTGAAATTATGTCATTTACTCTCACGTGTGGAGATACGTGTGACAGTAAATAACGTAATTTCAGTTAACAGTATGAAAATAGCATTCTCTAAATTCTTCCAGTTGCTAAGGACATTTTGTTTTGTTATTATTCATTTAATAAATTCATTTCGTTTTGCCTTGAGAAAGTCCACATCGGATGAAACACGTCAGCAACTATTACAGTTTTCCTATTGTCTTTTGCATTTATAAATATTGTCTTTTTATACAGGTTAACTCTGAGAAATGTTTCATATATATATATATATATATATATATAGAGAGAGAGAGAGAGAGAGAGAAAAAGAGAGAGAGAGAGAGACAAAGAATTTTATAAAAACTTTCAATGAGGAAAAGCCTTTTTTTTCTAACAAATGAGTGTAAAAACAATCTTTCATTAGACATATTGAGAGAGGAATATTGCCCTTATCTTTGTTGTTGTTATTATAACGTTTCAACCATTATGCACTCTAACCATCATCAGGTGTATGCCAAAATCCAGATAACCTACAGGGAATTTCAAACTGAACACTTTATTTAATCTATGGTAGTAGGTTTTTCCACTGTCCATGCCTAGGGATATCTTGTCTAGTCCTTATTTTTATAGTACTGCTCAGTTATTGGTCACCCTTTTTCCACTGAATCCAAGTACATACTGCTTAGCTCATGATTGTCACCAAATTCAAAAATCATTGCTTTAATCCACTATGTGACAATTCTGTACCGAGAACATGGAGGCCTTGAACCTAATTTACCTGTTGATGAGTTCTGCTACTGCTTGATTTCACTGAAGCTCCTCTTTTGTTACAGTTGCTGCTGCAGTAGAAGACCTGCTGTCATTTGTCTTTCTTTATTAATGGCTCCCATATTGTATCTATTTCTATGCTTGGCCTACTAAGGAGATCCTCATAGCCTAACATATGTGCTGATTCTTTCAGATGTCTAACTCTCCAATATTTTTCCTTCCTTAGTATTTTTACTTCATTCAACAGGGGTTGGTGACTACCCTTTTCTCTCCATACATGATCAGACATGCCTGTTTTCATTGTCTCCTTCATCACCAAGGCTTTTCAATGTTCCTACATGCCTTACTTTTAGGGGGCATTTCATTTCACTTTTTTATTCTTTTCCATAACTGCAAGAAATGGAGTCAACACAGTTCTTGGTCATGTCCTCCCTATGTTAGGCTTGTGACAGCAGTGATTTCTCTGGAGAGTGGAACTGCTTCTGAATATTGTCCTGATGTTGTATAGATTCTGCAGATCTGAATATTTTCCAATAAGTCACCAGACCGTGGAACTTTTCTGGTCCTCCTCCTTGACCCTCTTGTTTGAACCTGCAGATGTTGATGTTATGTTTGCAGGGTAGTTGTTATTCTGAAGGGTGCACTTGAGGCTGATCATTTCCTGCTGGTATTTGTCATGGTCACTACTTATGATTTGGAGGAATTGGACAATCCCTTTCTTTACACTGTATGGATGGTGGGAACTGAAGTTGAGTTATTGTCCGTTGAAGAATAATTTGTGATATAAGGATGTCTCGAACCCATCATCTGTGCGAGTTTTTAGAACATCCAAGAGGGCTAGTTGATTTTTATGAACTGGATCAAAAGTCTTATTGAATTCACATGGTCCAGCAGTATTTGTACAGCTTCCTCGTGTAGCCAGAGTATGAAAGTATCATTTATGTATCTCAGCTGTACTGTTGAAAGAGAAGCTTTGGTGAGTGCAGTCAAGCATGACAAACAGCAGCATCACTCATCAGCAGGCAGGTTAGGTTTAAGGTTTGTTCTCGATACAGAATTGTCCTGAAAACATTGGTTCATGAATTTTGTGATATAGTAATTGTTAGTTCAGTCATTGTGTACTTGTACTCAGTGGGCAAGCACAAACTATTTTGGTTACCAACACAATATGATGGAAAAGGTAAGGTACCAGATCTGATAGTAAATAGGATGCAATTAAAACCCAGAGTTATTATAATTGACTGTATTGTTGAAGAAATTGGTGTGGTAATGAAAATGAATTTAACTGACTTGTCAGGGTGGGGGATACAAAGTTACTCTCAATGATAAAAAAATGAGGAATTTCAGGCAGCTCAGTGAGTTGCGAGTTTGCAGCAAAGGAGTAATGACTGCAGGGTTACTGAAGAGGGAGATGATATTGAAAATGATGACTGATTTCGGCGCATGATTTGATTGGTAGGCATCGATGGTTGAGTTGTTTTGGAAAAGGGAATTTCCAGTAGTGAAGACCAAAATTGATTGTTAAGTTTCTCTAAGGTAGGGTCTAGGTTGATTTGAGGAAACATTGTTTAGGAAGTGATTGCTGTTCAGATAGAGATTGCAAAATGGCTTAGAAAAAGAAGACAAAGCTAGTTATGATAATATGGCTGAATTGGATTCTGTGATGAAAGGACACTTTGGCATTGAAGTGGAGGCTGTGGGATATTGAAATAAAATTTGTGTTTACATTCAGATCTACACTGGACAGCAGGCATGTCATTCCATTTACATTAGTATGTTTCTACTTGTTCAATATATATCACAGATTTTCTTTCTCCAATGCAGCTCAGTTACAATGTCTTTAGGTGTGCTTTTCAATGTAGTCATTTTTTATTCATGCACTCAACTGATCTTTTCTAAGTTTTGTGCAGCCTGGTATTTTAGTTCTGTTTTTTGACATATTCTATGATGACATGAATTCTTCTGGTTTCTGTGAAGTGACATGAGTAAAAATATGTGGGTAAGTAATCCAAGTAGATCGTTGTAGAAGTCAAGTGACTTACCTGCTAACATGGCTGCCTTCTTGTGTCTCCTTGTAAAGCAAGCCAGCTAATTTTACCTCATTTTATAGGAGAGTGTCTAATACACCAGTTAGGTTGGTCCATTTTGCTAGAATGGACCTGCCCAATACATTTGCATGAGTGGTCTTTATTCACCCATATATTTCTCCATGAAATGACTCAAGTCAGTTAACTTTTGGCTACACTAGCCTACTTGTGTGTCAGACCACTGGCAAGCAAACCAATTTTATACAATCATAATAATATAAATATTAAAAATGATCCTTAAAAGAACTCAAAATATTTATTATAGAACATATAAATGAATTACACAAAAATGAAACTATTACCCTATTCAGATGGTCATTTCACCCTGGGATATTCTCCCTGGGGGTTGTTAATGGAAAAACATTTGTTAAAAAAAATGAATTTTAACGTTTTTTTTTGTTTTTTTTTTTTAAATTGGAATTAAAGGAAGAAGGAAAGAAAGAAGAAAAAAGAAGAAGAACAATCAATAAGTAAAGGAAATGGCATTAAGAGAGAGATTCCTATCAAAAGACAAAAGAAAACTAAGGTAGTTAGAAAAGGATGGACAGGAAGTTATGACATAGACAAGTGTAGACTGAAATTAAAAATGGTTGAAGATTAATAATGACCTATATTTAACATATCAAATTTTGCTGAAATGGGAAAAACTTACATAGGAAAATACAAACATAAAGGTTAAGAAAAAGAAGAGTTTTAAAGATTATAGATAAAGGAAGAATATAATATAAAATTAATACTATTATATAAATTTAATTTTGTGTAAATAAATTTTTTTATTAAAAATCTTGATACTAATAACTCAAATTATTATATAGTTATATCAAATTATTATTAAGAAAAATTTATTTACTTAATTTTAAATAAAAAAATTAATAACATTACTTATTTATTTAGCCTAATGTAATTATATATTATATGTTATTAAGCAAATTTATTAAAATCAATATTAATCCATTCAATATTAGATATTTAGTTATAAAATAAAACTTTTTGATTAGTAAATTATTAATTTATATTAATAATAATTTATATCAATTATTATAATAAATATAAATATATTATATATTTATATTAAATTTATATTTTTATTTTATATTTATATCATATTTACATTAATCATTTTAATATTCAATTAAGGATTATATTTAAATTCAGTATTAAAAAAGGAATCTAATATTATAATAAAAACAATTTTTGTCATTTTTAGTAAATCAGCAAGACCTGAATATAAAAATTAATAAGATAAAGGAAGAATTTTTTAAAAAATTAATAAGTAATAGCCCAAAATAAAAATGAAATTTTATAAGGGAAAAATTTTTTTAAAATAGATGAAAAAAGTTAAAACCTAGATTAAAAAAAAGATTAAACTTCAAGAATAAATAGATAAATTATAGAATCTTACTTATTATAAAACGCAGATTATGTGTGTGTGTGTGTGTCTGTAACGTTTATATATTGGATCGAATTTCCTACATTTTTTAGCCGATTTCAACAAAACTTCACAGGACTACATAAAATTACCTTGTGATGGTTCTAACGGCGCCGAAAATCAATGTGAAAACACGATTAAGACACATCATGAGAATGAAAGGGGGACAACTCACCCACGAAAATGTAAACAAAAGAGACTAGAATGATGAAAAAAATCCGAACTTGACGAAAACAAAATGTTATCGTCTAATGTTCATATTATTAAAGAGGAAAGATCAAAGTATTTTTGGGGTATTTTTTTACATTTTTTAATCGTTCCTAGCACATCTGAAATTTTCGTTAAAAATATTGTTTTT